GGGCTCTCTCATCTTTTTAAGTGGGAGAACCTGCACAATTGGTGGCTGACTAAATACTTTTTTGCCGCACTGTATATTACTGTATCACTAGAAGTGCGGGATCCAAGATTATGGACTTTACATGCAATAGATGTGTCTTTTCCTCATTAACTCATGCAGGTGCATTGGACTGGGTTGTCTACAAAGAAAGAGAGATTCTGGAAAGGAACTATTCCTCTGGAGTAGTTTGTTCCTGAATAAGGATGAGCTTTCCCCCATACCTTAAACCATTTCTGATGTGTTGGTAGTTGCAGTAGGCTGTTACATGGTCCAGAAAGTAATTGAGAATTACTTTAAAGCGATGAGTATAAAAGTGCTCTTCATTAAACTGGCTTTGTAAGTTCACTGGTAGGATTCTGAAATAGTTTTAAAATTGTGTAATTTGAATCCAGCTGATGTGCTTTTTTTGCTGTTTGTTTTACACAGGTTTCAAATTCTACTGGAGACTGTAATGCACAGCTTTTTCATTTCTCCAAAGAGGTAATCTAAAATATCCTTTTAATGGCTTAAAGGAGTTTACGAAAATGTGTTGAAGCATTAGAATTAGCCAGAGCTTCTCAGTATGACTGTCTTTATGTATAGTACTTCCTAAGCATGATGATTTGAATTGGGAATGTGTCCTAGCACTGAGGTCTGCAGTGGAGTACCTCTTAATGTCTGCTAGCACCCCGTCCCCCCTGACCTTTTACATTGATAAAGAATTCTAATTTGTTTTTTTAAATGGGTGTTTGGCAAGCTATAAAACAAAGCACTAGCTTTTTGTCACCTTTATTATTTCCAATAATGCCTTTGAGCCTCAGATGAGTTCTGTAAGTTTTCTTAGAAAATAAAAATGATGGGAAATTACAGCCCAGTACTTTATTTGAAACTGTATTCACCTGCCCAGAAAAAAAAGATAAAAATAAGCAGAGATAGTAGGGAGCACCAGGCAACAGAAAATTCCCCACAACATTTTGATAAATGGGTGCTTTGTAATTCATAACATTTCTCATCCAGCCATGTTATGAATGGGCAAATGTCCTCGCAGCCTATTTGTAAGAAAGACTGTAACATACTCTCAAAAATTCTCTCCAGATGAAAAATGTTCAGGGTTCTTGTCTTATTAATAATATGCAGTGAAAATGGAGAAAGGATTTGAAATGTATATATATATATATTTTTTAAATAAAAGGCAACATGTATTTCTGTCTTTCATAAAGATATTCAAGGCAGCCAAAACCCCACAGTAAAACATAGTGGAATCAGTATGGATTAATTCTTGGCTTTTTTGCAAGGGTTTAAAAATAAGGATCAAATATTTACAGTCTTTATTTCAATGCTGTCTTTCTTTTTTCTTTTTATTTAGAGTGCTTATGCCATTCCAACTATGGCTTTCTCATTTCTCTGCCATACATCAGTACTGCCAATTTATTGCGAGCTCCAAAGGTAACATGTAACTTGTAAGTGCAAACCATTTAAAAAGCAGGAGTAGGAATACTGAAGTTTGGAAACGATTCATTTCCTGTTTAATCTAGTGTGGACAATATTGAAAGGGGCCATTTAGGCTCTTAAGTGCAACCCCTGCTCTGCAGGAATCCAAGTTAACCATCTCAGACAGGTGGCCCTCTAACCTCAATTTGATCACATCCTATTTATTTATTTATTTAGATTTAGAGGCTGCCAGACTCCAAACAACTCTGGGAGGCTTATATATTAACATTCACAAACAATAAAAAGCAAAAGAAAATGATCATGAATGTCAGGAATAACAAAACACAATACCCCCAAAACAGAACAATACAACAGAACAGCACAACGCTCCCCTAAACTGAGAGGGGCTCAGCAACCTCTCTACCCCCCAGCCTGGGACCTAAGCCTAGTTTTCAAGGACTTGTGGAACACCCTTTGGAAGGGAGCTGTACAGATAAATGAAGGGGAGCCCCCCAGCTCCCTGTGATTAAAAAATGAGACAATATAATTGTTTCCTCTAATGTATTGAAGCTTCGTCTATAGCAGGAGAGGGAGGAGCTTCCAGCCTAGGAGCCACCAGGTCTTCCATTCAGCTTGCCAAAAGTTCTGCTGCATTCCTTTTTGGGGGCTACATGCTTGGAGACTCAAGTTCCTGAGGCATCTAGAATCAGCTCTTCTTCAAGACTTATCTCATTCCTTTACTCTTCTAACAGAACAGTAAAAGAATGAAGGACATAGTCTCTATTGAATCTGATTGTCTCAAGGCACTGAAATATTTTGATTAGAGGACTCCCAGAGAGCATATCCAGAACCCCCTGCTCTGCTACTTCCTGATCAAATGAGCAGTGAAAGATGTGTGGGAGGGGTGGAGATTGTGGGAAAGAGAAGTATTCTCCACTCTACAACTATTGTTTTACTGCAATCTGTAGTCTTCTTGTGCTTCTCCCATAAAATATTTGTTCCATCTTTAGAGTAGTCATTTGATGAAATCTGGTAGTAACAGGATTTGAGAAATGTGATGCCCCACTGCTGTAATTGTATTAGAAAAACATTCAGTAGCAGTGGTAATTGTAGTAGTAGAAGAAATTTAAAACTATTCAAGGAATTAGAGACATTATCTACAAAAAATTAATTCCACCCAAGAAAAACTATCACTAATTTAAGGTAAAAGAACTTGAGTGTGTCAAGACACTGCATGTACCTCTGAGTTGGTGGTATGAGAGCAAAAGTATATTGATTTGTAAGGTAGCATTTAGATTAGAGATCCTGGTTTGCATAGGAGAGCAGGAGCATGCATGCTGGTCAAAACACACCAAATGCTGCATGTGGCATTGCTATGACTGTGGCACATCCAACTGTTGTGGGTATTCCTTTTTTTTTGGTCTTCAGAATCTAAGCATAATCCCAATAATCTAGGGAGATCTCTAAGGGATCTATTGGTTTGGTTGCTACTGCCAGCCTTTTCATGGGCGTGAGGTATCAAGATCTGGTGGAATGTGGGGAATATAGAGAACAGCATAATCCCACAATGCCATTTTTCTTTTCCTTTAAAAAAAAAAAAGTTATATGGCTGCCCACTCTAAAACACAATTCTGAGCAGCTCACAACAACAATAAAAAACCTGAACTATAAAAACCATAAAACTGTAAAACACAACCAAAACCTGGCACCCTTGGGATCCCCCAACAACCAACCCTAAACACCCTCATTCTATCCCAGGGCCTGGGTAAAAAGCTAGGTCTTGATGACCTCCCAGAAGCTAAAAGAGTGGGGGACTGCCAGATCGCTGTGGGGAGGGTATTCCATAAGGTAGGGGCAAGCAAAAAAAAGCACGCTTCCGAGGTTAGATGGTAAGATTTCAGGGAAGGGACCTGGAGTGTTCCTACCCTATCTGATCTGGAACGATAGCAGATACTGTCAGGGAGAGGCAGTCCCGCAAATAACCTAGTTCTGTGACATGTCAGAATTTAAAGATGAAAACCAGCATCTTGAATTGCACCCAGAAGGAAACTGTGAGCCAGTACAGCTCATATAATAGAGATGTAGCATGGGTGAATCTAGAAGCACCCAGCACTGTGCACGCTGCCGCATTCTAGACAAGTTGTAGCTTCTGAGTGGTCTTCAAGGGCAGCCCCATTTAAAAAGCTTTGGGAAGTGATTAAGGCACGAGTGAATATGAGCAAGGCCTCCTGGTCCAGGAAAGGGTGCAATTGGCACACAAGACAAATCTGTGCAAAGACCCCTCCCAGCCATGGCTACCCCCTGCTTATCAAGCAGGAGCCATAAGTCCAGAAGGACCCCCAAATTGCACACCAGCTCAGACCAGGGAAGTGCAACCCCATCCAGAGTCAAAGTTGACATATCACCAGACTCTGGGGTGCCAAAAAACCAAAGCCATTTCATCTTGCCAGGGTTGAGTCAAAGTTGGTTCCTCCCCATCCAGAACCTCACAGCCTCCAGGCACTAGGTCAGCACCACGGCAGCATCACTGCTATATATACATCCTATATACAGGATGTGTAGCTGGGTATCATCAGCTTACTGATGATACTACATCTCATGCTATTGAATGACTTCACCCAGAGGTTTCATGTAGATGTTAAAGAGGAGAAAAGAGAGACCCAAGCCCTGAGGCACCCCACATTGCACCACCACCACCCCAGCAACACTGACTGGAACTGGCTGCAGAGAAAAGAGGAGAACCACTGCAAAACAGTGCCTCCCACTCCCAACCCCCGCAGCCGGTCCAGAAGATACCATGGTTGATGGTATTGAAAGCCGCTGAGAGATCCAGGATATCCAGGATGGTTGCACCACCCCTATCCTGAGCCCTCTAGAGGCCATCCACAAGTGCGACCAATGCTGTCACAGTATTGTACCCCAGCCTGAACCCAGCCTGAAAAGGGTCCAGATAATCCACTTCGTCCAGAAACCTCTGAAACTGAGCACCAACCACCCTCTCAACAACCTTCCCCAAAAGGGAAGGTTGGAGACTGGATGAAAGTTGTCTAACACAGTTGAGTGTACGGATGGCCTCTTGAGAAGGGGGTACACCATCGCCTCCTTCAAGGCAGGCGGTATCACCCCCTTCTGCAAAGAGGCATTAATTGCCGCTTGAACCCAACCACATGCCACCTCCCAGGAGGCCTTAACCAAGCAGGAGTGGTAAGGGTCCAGAACATAGAGGGCTGAGCTCACAGACACAAAGACTTTATCCACTTCTTCAGGATCAACCAGCTCAAACTCCTCCCAGATAACAGGGCTCAAACGTGTCTCAATCACTTCCAAAGGATCTGCCCAGCCAGTCCAACTCTGAGCAAAGTCGAGTGACTTTGTAAGGGTAAGCCTGAATGGGAATAAATGGAGTATGTATGTATGTATGTGATTTAGAAGCTCCCTGATTCCAAAATGACCTGGGCAGCTAACATTAAATATGTAGAGAATGGTTCATTAAGCAGAAAGTAAGATACAGATCTATGATACTCCTTGGTTGTTTAGTGTATTGATGGCTATAAAAAATAAGGAAAGCTTATGTAAAGGTCCTATTTAGTTAGTTTGGTCTGATTTGTAGAAAGCAGTTGTTAAATTGATAACCTAAAACAATACTAGTTGTTTGCCTCCAGGAAATGGGAGGAATGTAGTCCCAGCCTGACTCCCCCAATAAGGCTCATGAAGTTAACCCTGGTACTGGCTTACCTTAAGCAATGGTAGAGTCCCCACTCCCCTTGTTCCTCCAGGATTATGAACACTTGCCTGTATGGAATTGTCCTACTCTAGAGTCAACAGGAGGGAGAGATTAGCTCTACAACCACCACCATTCCACACAAATTCACACATGTAAAGCTGAGTCAACTCTGGCTGGCAATTCCCCCCTCCCCCAGCTCTGGGAATTGTGAACTATCAACAGAACTAAATTGTGTAATTTAGATAGTGCCCTGATTTGTAATGACTTTAAAGAAATGCTGGCTGGAGATATAAATGCATTTTTATATGCAAACTTTTATATGCATAAAATGCCATGTTGCTGGGCTGAGAGCAAGAGGAAGGCCAAGAAAGACATGGCCTGGATGGAGCTGATGAGATCCTCAGAAATGCAACGTAGGGCTACTCAATCTGGACTGAAAAAAAATAGATACTGTCATCTAGTGGTTGTTTGGATTTGTATAGCTAATATAAGGTTATACTAAATAACCAAAGGCGGCATAATATGAGTCACTGAATAGATGTGGTGAGAGCAAAGATGGTTAGCAAGGATGGAAAGTATGGAGAGTTATAGTGAATGGCACTGGTATTAGCAAGATTCAGCTTAATTCTTTTTCTCTTATCTCCTGCCCTTAATTTGTTTTACTTACTAAGTGTTTTTCTGCCCTTTGCATAATGTTACTTACTCTGAAAGGGAATAGCATTGTGGGTAGATATGCATTATGATTTAATTTAAACTTCTATAATAGGATTTGTTGTTAAATCATTCAGTTATCTTCATAATTTTGTCAGGATTGTTTGTCACTAACTAAGTTCTTGTCAGCTTATGCTTAAGTCATCAATGGTAATATCTACAGTGGGGCAAAAAAGTATTTAGTCAGCCACCAATTGTGCAAGTTCTCCCACTTAAAAAGATGAGAGAGC